TGTCCTGTCTCGTCTATTAGTCTAGTGTGACTGTCTCACTCTCTCTTTTCTCTTCATTTCGTCTGACGACGGGTTGGTGTCACCAATTCGAAAATTCACGAGTAAAACTCGATTTTTTCCGAAGAACCTCTTCCTTTTTCATTATATTGTCTCGGAATGCCTACCACTTCTGCTCTACAACATATATAGATATATATAGAAGAAGACGGGAAGGCGATCGCTGGGACCAATGGTTTATTTATCCGACGTTTTGAACTCTCACGCGAGCCCATCGTCAAGGAATGAAAAAACTGTACAGCTCGTCGTGTATTTAGCTCACCTCTGCCGGGGGTGACCTCTAGCTGCGCTGTTGATTTGTTCACGGAGTGCTTGATAGGCGATTGGCAGATCGATATGTCGATTAATCGCGTCCTCAGTTGAGTGCCACGCTTCCTGCAGCAGGCGCGCAACTCGGTTGTCTGACTGTCCTAGTATTCTCACGCTCCCAAAGTCAAAGGCGTGTCCTGGCGAGGAGGCGTGGGCGGCTACCAAAGAGAGTTTATCCTTCCGTCTCACGGCCAATTCATGCTCATGCAATCTCGTGCGGACCTGTTTTCCGGTTTCACCAACATAACTGGCCTGACCGCAATTGCAGTCTATGCGGTAGATGACCCCCGATTTCTGATTAATGGGAATCGGATCCTTGGGCTGCATGAGTTGACGGCGGATTGTGGCTTCAGGTCTGTGCGCGACGCCGATCCCAAATTCGCTCACCAGTCTGGCGTATTCTTCTGACAAACCAGCTACGTACGGAACTGCGCGCCAGCACTTCGGTTTCGGCTGCCCCTTCGATTTTCTTCCCTGTGCTTCTCGCCTGCACTTTTCGACGAAATTCCCAGGGTAGCCGTTCATGGTGAAGAGTTTCTTCAGGAACTGAGCCTCGGCCTTCTTGTCGGCTGGCTCTGTGCAATGGGTTTCTACCCGCCGGTAGAGTGTTCTTACGCAGCTGCGTTTGTGCGAAAGGGGGTGGTTGCTGAGAAAACTCAGAATACGAGAGGTATTTGTCGCCTTTCGGTAAACTGTTGTTTTTAGTCCCCCATCGCCTTTTCTCTGGACTAGTACGTCGAGGAACGGCAACTGGCAATCTTTTTCCTCCTCCATCGTGAACTGGATATCTGGGAAGATCGAGTTCAGATGTTGCGTGAATTCCCCAATCCTGTCCCGATTGATGATGACAAATGTGTCATCAACATACCGTACCCAAAATCGTGGTCGGTAGTGGTCAAAAGCCAGTGCCTCCAGTCGCTGTAACACTGCCTCAGCAATCAAGCTGGATAACGGCGGCCCCATCGGTGTGCCTTTAACTTGTTCGTACGTGGCTCCATTGAAGGTGAAGAAGGTCTTCAAGCAGTGTTTCAGGAGATCGACAAGGTGTTTTATCTTAAGTTTGTTGTCCGTCTCGTTATAACGTTGCTCTAACAAGGTTTGCACAGTTTCAACCGCGAGATGTTGTGGGATGGAAGTGAAGAGTGATACCACGTCGAAAGATACCATCACTTCGTCATCTGTAAGTTGAATACCTTGCAGTTTCTCAAGGAATCGTTCTGCTGAGTGGATGGTAGTTTCAGAACCTTGGGTTAGGAATTTCAGACGCTGGAACAGCCACTTAGCCAGGCCAAACGTTGGTGTGCCTCTTAGAGAAACGATCGGTCGTAGGGGGGTTCCTGGTTTGTGGACCTTGGGTAGACCATAGAATCTCGCGATCGCGGAATCCTTTGGTTTCATCCTCTGCCAGTCAAGCCGTGTAATCGCTTTTGACTTCCGAAGACTTGCCAGGTCCTTGTTGATTTTGCTCATTAGAGTCTTCGTCATATCCCCTTCACAAGGAATGTAGGCAGTTCTATCGCCCAAAAGGGCCTCGACTTTGTTGACGTAGTCCTCCTTGTTTAGTACGACCGTCGATCGTCCTTTATCGGCCGGGAGTATGACAATGCTTTTGTCGGCCTTCAGAGTCCGAAGTGCTTCGTTTTCTGCTTTCGAGAGCATATTGCGTTTCTTGTGGGACATGAGTCTGGAGGATATTCGCTGTCGTAGCAGATTTCTGTTTTCCTCAGTGATTGGAGCTTCACGAATGACAGATTCCGCAGCTGCGATGAAGTCAACAGGTTGGGCATCCGTCGTATTGAAGCAGGCATCATGGCTCGTGAACAAATCAACAGCGCAGCTAGAGGTCACCCCCTGCAAGTTGGTGTTCGTGAATGCGTGTAGAGGCGGATTTTCCTGTTTGACCACAATAAACTGCATCACAGGCCCCACACGGGATCTTGTAGACTGCTTCCTTTCTATCCAAATAGCCGACCCTATCCTTAGGGTGTACTATCTGAGTACGTAATGCAGTCGTTGGTCTGTGCGCCACCAGAATTTGGTGCTTCTTTAGGCGCCTTTCCACGAGTTCAGACACGTTTTTGATATAAGGGAGAGTTCGCCATGTATTTGACTTGGGTGCCTGGCTGGAAGTTCTTTGTTCCGTTTCTTTTGACTTCTTCTGTCTCATGCATCGGCGCACAAAATTCTTGGGGTACCCATTTCGGGAAAGTAATTCACACAAGTAACTTAGTTCGGCCTGGTAGCCTTCTTCGTCCGAGCAGTGTGTTTATGCCCGGTTAAGCAAGCAGTTGACCGTACTCCGCCTAAAGAAGCACCAAATTCTGGTGCCACACAGACCAACGACTACATTACGTACTCAGATAGTACACCCTAAGGATAGGGTCGGCTATTTGGATAGAAAGGAAGTAGTCTACAAGAGCGCCCACTATCATAATATATATATATATATATATATATATATATGCTGAGTCAACGGTACGTGAACGACGCACTTTCCCTGCAAGCTTGGGCTGCCGCTTTCGACCCACCTAATATGGTTTTCACTTGTAAATGACATTTATTCGGTTTTTCTGTCGGTCAACGTAACTCTTTCCTCTATTGTAGCGAATTGAATTCTGAATATGCTGGACAGATTAGATTTACTCAAGGAAATCAACGAAGAAGTTCCCTGTCTGGACGCTATAGCCCCCAGTTTTCCAGAAGAAGTAAAATCCTTGAAATCATGCATTTTGGACAAACTTCGTAGACAGTGTGCCAAGTCCTTAATGGGCCCTTGGGCAAACCCAAACAACATTATAATCGAGGAGATTGGGTGAGTTTCATGCCCTCATGAGTTAAATCTTTGTATATTTTGCAATTCAAGTTAACTTGCTCGCGTTTGCCATGAGACTACTCACAGCAGCCGGTTTGTGTCGGAGTGAGGAATAAGGGCTTCAAGGTTGACGTCTTCCAGGTTAGGAGCACTTCCTTAATTTTAAGCTATCCCAGTTAACATAGCCACCCGCGTTTTGTGGTCGTTAACAACTTTGGGAAGTTATTTGTAAGTTGTGGGACCAACCACAGTGATAGATTCGGTAGGTCAATTTTTTCAAAGGTCTTGCTCGCAATAACCGCTATCAACCAACCTGGTCCACATGTAAGTCATCGTAAATCCAAACTGTCTGTACAACAGCTTGTCAGGGCATAATAGACTGTCAGGTACTACATTGAGTTGCCAGCACGCAAGCTTCTCATCCGTAAAGCCACTTATACTGCTTGTTTTTTTGGTTAAAACTAACTTATATGGCCCCCGAAGCAGCACACAAGAACAGGAACTGCCTGCAATACGGGTGGCTTTGAGGCAGCTTACAGTGAAATTAGGGTTAGGTTTAAGGCCAGATTTAAACGGTAAGTCATGAACAGGTTTAGGGTAGGATTATGATTAAGATTAGGGCAACGGTTTAGCCTTATACTAGGGTTATTGTTGGGGCTAGGGCACGGAAATATTTGCCTTTTCCGTAGGTCCACCATTATTACCTGGAGGGGACGTTCCTATTTTCATGCCATGTTTAGAGGCCGCACAGGTCAGTCTTACCAATTTTTGCACCAAAACATCTTTCAAGTCCCCTCCATTCAGCTTCGCACATAGATTTTGTAGTCCGCTTGTATATAGGTAAACTCGACCACTGCCCTCCTTGATGATCCTAATTTCAAGGTATAACGGTTCGTACTTATCGGTTTTAAAGATACGATTCACAGGCATGCATTCAAGGGCACTGTCTGTCCAGTAGTTTAGAGGCTATCAAAATGAATTAGGATGCAGGCTGCTGCCCCAAAGTCGTTTGGAAATAGTGTGATGCCATGATAGGGCAGGATCTCGAATGTCGATTTTCTGAAAAAAGGGCAGTATTCTGCCAACTCACCACAGGGAACGTATTGGATCTAACGTTTCCGGAAATAGATGAATTTGTGCAGTCACCAAAATGTTGCTTGTAACTTATTTTGTTTTTAGTTCTGAAGACATGATGGCAGTTGCAAAACTTTAAAATGCAAACTCAGCACGTCACTGTGTGTATAATAGCCTGAGCCCACATGCCACATGTTCCTGTTACAGGCATGGGTAAATTTATTGCCGTCTGAACGTAGCTGCCGATGCTGAACCAAACATCTTTGGTAACCATGACTATGTTCGGACATTCACTCTGGCAGAATGCATAAGGTTTTCAATGCCTGTCGGCCCCCGATGTACCGAGAAAATTTCATTTTTTCATATCAACATAGCGCTACAAGTTGCTATCTACATTCAATTGTTTCTTTTTTTTCAGCCCTGCTTTGGCTGCTCATTTAGCCTCGTAAAGCATGTATGACTCCTGTCAATGTGTCTGAAAAGTGCTCTAGAAATATGCAGTAAGACCGTGCACTCGCGTCCACTCCCCTCAGTTTCATGCTGTCCATCGTGCTGATGAACGCGTAGCTTGGCAAGTAGCCTGAATTTAGCATCGACCACTGAACCGATGTGTGCATACAGAAAGAAAAGTGTCCAAGGGCAGAAGTCATGACTTGTTGTCATTAGTGCTGTCTTTTTTCCAACATATTTAATAAAGATTGGTCAACAGTATTTAAGCTTTAGAAGGTGTGGCGTTTGAGTGAGCATCACCATCGGCCATGATGAGTTGGTTTGCAATCCCGTCGATGAGTCTGAGCGGAGGAACAATCAGTAAGCTTCCGGCTATTAAGCCCCGCTTGCCTGTTCAGCGTTATAGGTCATAGACGAACCCACCTGCGGACTGCTACAAAGGGTGTATTATCCTAGGCTGGGTTTCTTTCTGTTTATACTCTCCCTTCTTGGTAATGGTGTGGTCGAGACGCGTATTTTGTCATGTTACTGCGCTGTTTGTTTAAGTAGAATGGGAAGAGTTTACACTTCTGATCCCGAGAACCGTACGCAGATTTTGCGAATTTCAGCAGCTTACTGTGCCGAGGAGAAAGCGATCAGACCGATAGGCAAATGCAGAAAACCTTGTCACGTGAACTTGTTTGTGCCATTTATTAACAGTCACACCTTTTCCCGTAAGGTTCTTTTACCGCCTTGCGCTATAAATAGCCGCACCACCACCAAGTTTGCGCTTCAGATACCACTGAGAATGTTTTCTCATCTCAGCCCTGTATCTGAGGGCGGACAGGCATACCTTTTTCCTTCAAAATGCGTCATGCGAATGTTTTACCTGCGTCTGGCGTCGTCCATCATTTCAAATCTGCAAGACAATTTTTCGCCCCCGTCCCCTCCCACGTATTACAACTGGTCCCGAAGGCCGAATCGAACTAGAACACAACACTGTCCCTTATCTGTCCAGTGCTTTTGGCAACGAAATCCCCCCTCTAAACTACAATTTTTGGAGCACACATGCAGTGTTGAGCAGAAGTAATAACTTTGCTGACATTTGCCTTCTGCTCTCTGTTCCCTCAACATGTACGTTGCTTCTGTGGAACTGCACTGAACAAGTCTCTTCGAATAACACGACGAAGTCACACGCTGTCAAATTTTCATCTCATCCACTGCGAAGATGGCGCATTCATTGCCACAACTATCGTCGTAGCCCGTGCAAGTGTTCCTCATTGATGATACCGATGTGATCTCTATCAAATAGGTCATGATGCTTGTGCTTTAACAAAGCAACTAAAATTATAAGTCTAGCCACCAACACGTAACAATTTGTGATAAGTAGGTGCCTTTGGACGTAAGTACTTGATTTACAGTGCTTAAGTAAACTTTTCCTATGGGCAATGAAGGAGTCGTCCCCATGTGTCTTTCCGGTAACTGTACGCCATCGAGTAGTTAGCTGGAGCCACTGATAGTTGCCGCTTAGTTCTTGCATCGCATATATCTGAGGCGGATAGACTTCATGCATTTTTGGGTGCTGCTCCAGCGAATGCGAAATCGACGAAGAAGACTGGTGTCACTTTGCTACCTGAACTTTCTACAGCTGTGGTTAAGAGCCACCTAGTTTTTTTTTATTAGATCTCACGCAGAGCCGCCATGCTTGGTGGTCTACAGCAGTACGTCAGAGGGGATTGATCCCCTATCCTCCATCAGGTGGTCCTAGAATAACCTCGAGATCTTGACCGATCCTCTCAGTATTGATTTATGATCGACTAACGAATGTCCAAGTTTGCCAAAAAAACCCTGTCTCTGAAATCTCGCTGCCAGGTATTGCAACGAACGTGTTCTGAATGTCCAAGTTTCTTATTTCACCAGTTTTGTATCAATGACTAAAGTTCCTAGTCATTCGAACGTGCATTATGAAGGTCTCTTTAAGATAAAACTTGACAAGTTAGGTATTCCTCTTGGTTGAGCTTTTGCCTCCTGTCCTATTTTTTTCTAATTGGTTCAAAGCCCTCCGCCTTGCTTATTGGAATCATATTTCAAGCGAATGTATTTCGCCTTTTTCAAACCGAACAGAGCTCATGGGAAGTGCAAGGGCAGTCTGCGAATTTGCTCGGGAGGTGCAGCCAGCCACTGGTGTTTTCGTATGTTGTTCTTCCTGTGAGGCAAATCCTAATGAGCATTCACCGATCTGGCGTGGTGGCAGGACGGAACACGGGCGTTCCGTCTGGATCCCTCGCAGGCGGTCGCATAACCCAGAAGTGGCCGTTGTCATTGTCGGTAATACTTCTCGACCTAGTGAGTATCTTTGAAATGTGCGCGAGTACAAAAAGCCTAGGCAGGAGTAGGTTTGAAAGGGACTTGGAGTGGACGAAAATAGGCGAAATACTGGCGACGTAGTTCCGTTTTATTACTACGGTTCAAACAAAGTGCTGAGCTACTGAGCAAATGTGTGGACAACCTGCTTGCGGCGCCCTTATCACGAAGCCCGGCTCTCTGTGCGCAAGGGAAATTCAGTCAGGCATTACGTCTACTGTCGCTTAGCGCACGCTCA